GATTCCATATTTGTATGTATTGTGAAATGATTAGTACAATAAGTCTAGTTAACATCCATCACCATACATAGTTACACAGTCTTTTTTCATGATAAGAACTTTTAAGGTGTACTCCCTTAGTGATTTTCAAATATACAATTCATTATTGCTAACTATAGTCACCATGTTGTACACTACATCCACACAATTTATTTATTTTATAACTAGAACTTTGTTCTATTTGACCACCTTCACCCATTTTGCCCATTTCCCATGCATCACTCTGGCAGTGACCAATCTGCTTTCTCTATCTATGAGCTTGTAACCTACCACCCCAGATTCCATATGTGAGATTATATGTTATTTGTCCTTCTTTGTCTGACTTATTTTACTTAGCATAATGCCCTCAAGATAAGATTTTCATTTTTTTATGGCTGAGTAATATCTAACTATCCATCCATCCATCCCTGTATATATGTGTATATATATATATACACACACACATACCACATTTTCTTTATCCATTGATGGACACTTAAGTTGCTTCCATGTCTTGGCTATTATAAACAGTTCTGCAGTGAACATTGGAATACAGGTATCTTTTCACATTAGTGTTTTTGTTTTCTTCAGATAAATACCCAGAAGAGGAATTGCTGTGTCTTTTGGTAGCTCTGTTTTTAACTTTTTTGAGGAACCTCCATACTGTGGTTGCACTAATTTATATTCCCCGAAACAGTGGACAAGGGTTCCCTTTTCTCTACATCCTCACCAGCACTTATTTCTTATCTTTTTGATAATAGCCATTCTAGTGTGGGAGGTGATATCTCCTTGTGTTTTTGATTTGGGTCTTTTTATATCTAATGTCTCTGTATCTATTTAGCTTTTTGAACATATGTAATGCAGTTATCATTACTTTCCTAATATCCTCATCTCATAATGTTGATCTAAATGTTGATCTAATTCTTTTTTTTCATTAAAGTGTCATTGATAAACAATCTTATGTTGGTTTCAAATATACAATCCCCGTGACCAACTTTTATTGTGATTATGAATTATTGTGCCCCTTTTTTTCCTTCCCCTTTCCCCCATCCTCCCTAGCACCTCCTCCTTGGTAACTACTAGTCTCTTCTTGGTGTCTATGAGTCTACTGCTATTTTGTTCCTTCTGTTTTGCTTTGTTTTTATACTCTACAAATAAGTGAAATAATTTGGTATTTGTCTTTCTCCACCTGGCTTATTTCACTGAGCATAATAGCCTCCAGATCCATTGTTGTTGCAAATGGGAGGATTTTTTCTTTTTATGGCTGAATAATATTTCATTGTGCATATGAACCACATCTTTTTTATCCGTTCATCTATTAATGGACACTTAGGTTGCTTCCATATCTTGACTATTGAAAATAGTGCTGTGATAAACATAGGGGTGCACATGTCTTTTTGAATCAGGGATTTTATTTTCTTTGGGTAAATTCCTAGGAGTGGAATTCCTGGGTCAAATGGTATTTCTATTTTTAGTTTTTTGAGGAAACCCATATTGCTTTCCATGTGGTTGTACCAATTTACATTCCCACCAACAGTGTAGAAGGGTTCCCATTTCTCCACATGCTTGCCAGCATTTGTTATTTCTTGTCTTTCGGATAGTGGCCATCCTAACTGGTGTGAATAATTACTCTTTTAATATCCTCATCTAATAATGTCTGTGCAAGTTCTGGGTCAGTTTTAATTGGTTTACTATTCTCCTCATTGTAGGTCATTTTTCCTGCTTTTTATTTGCATGTTTGGTGATCTTTGATTGGATGCCAGACATAAATTTTACCAAGTGCCGAATATTTTTGTATTCATATACATCTTCTTGAGCTTTGTTCTGGAGTATAGTTAAGTTATTTGAACATGGTTTGATCCTTGCTTTTAAAGTTTGCTGGATGGGAGCAGACCTGTATTTACTGTAGGGTTTATTTTGCCCCACTATTGAGGTAAGTCCCTTTTGTGTACTCTATCCAGGGCCCTGGGAATTATGTTTTCCAGCCTAGATGGTGGAAACAGATATTGTGCCCAGCTCTGTGTATGTTACCTCTAATCCTTTTGGGTGGTTCTTTCCCTGGCTTCTGGTAGTTTACTCTCATGCATATGCTCCTCAGGATGCCCAAATAGGGCCCCTGTGCAGATCTCTGGGGTCTTCTCTCCGCAGTTCCCCCACCTGCAGTGCTCTGTCCTGCAAACTCTAGCTCTCGTGGTCTCTGCGCACCGTCTGCTTCATCTCCTCAACTTGAGGCGTCTGCTGGGCTCAGCCTGGGTTCTCCCTTCCTGAGCCCAGGAAGTGGGCTGTCCCTCAGGCAGTGAGCTAGAACAGTTATAGGCCTCCCCTCATTTGCTTCCTGTGGCTCAGGGATCAGTGTTCTTCATTGCCTAATAGTCTCTTGAAACTGTTATTTCACTTATTTGCCTGTTTTTTTCGGTTGTTTCAGGAGGGATTGTAGATCCCATTCTTAGCCAGAGCAGAATTCCCCAGGAATGATGTTTGAAATGTTGAATGAACCTGCAGAGCTCTATGGGGATGTCTGAGAACTTATACAAATGTGCGTGCCTTAGGAAGCTTCCAGACCCGTCTCCAACTCTGAAGTCAGTTGGTCATTCACACTCTGGTGACATGCTGTTGGCACGGCAGAGCTAATCGCACACACAGCTGGTGGCACCCCAGCCACATGGCAGCTTGTCTCAGTGCAGCCAGCCTCACTTGTTTCCCCTGGTCAGTGCCTCACCCAGAGTTTGGCAGCTGTTGCTGAGTTAAAGAGAGTTGAAGGGCAGGGGTCTTTTTTACAAGGGGAGTGGAGATTGCTGAAGGACATACGGACTGCCCAGGAAGGACTCTTCTCTTTCCTGAGCATTTTGCCCAAGTGCTATACAGTGGCTCCAAAGCGGGAGGCAGGTCTCCCTCCGCTTCTCCCTGCGGCTGCCCCCTCCTCGCTGGACCTGCCTCCTAGCACTCCCAAGGCAGCAGGCCGGAGAGCAGAGTCCAGCAGTGGAGGCCCCCGGAGGAAGGAGCTGCCGCGGAGTGGGGCAGTATGGTGTAGCAACCCCCGAGGTGTCCCGTGGGGAGGGTAAAGCCCATTCTGGAATAGTAGTCAGGAGACTTCGCTCCTAGACCTGGCACTGCTGCTTACTAGCTGTGTGCCATTTGGCACTCCTGAACCTCTCCGTGCCTCAGCGTGGTCATCTATTAAGTGGGATGATGACCCTTGTCATGCCCACCTCCTAGAGCTGTTATAATGTGTGCAAAGATGCTTTGTTGTAGTAGAATCTTCCATAAAGTCATCACACTTTTCTTGGTGTTCTCATAAAACAAATGAAATAGTTAAAATGTTTGTATTCTATTTTCCTGATTGAATGTCTACCGGAATGTTTTTGCTTATTATCTGTATTGCCAGATGCTTTTGCATGAAGCTATGTATTTGTCCACTTATTTATTTGACATTCATTAATCTAGTGCCTCCTTGTGACCTTTCTTCATGAGCTGGAGAATTACGGGTGGCTCTCTGACAGTTCAATGGGAAGGATAATTTTTTTCTTCATAGGGAAAATTCATCTTTGAGGAGACTATAATTTTGGGGGGTTTATTTAGTCTGAAGTCAAATGTGACTGTGAACATGCTGGCATGTTTTAGTTGCAGAGGAAAATGGTCACTTATGGTCAGAGGAGCAGCCTGCTCCCCTTCTCCACGTGGGGGCTGTGCACATGAGTGAGGAGGAGCCTGCAGGTGGCCTGATGGATGAGGATAGGTCAGCAGAAGAGGCCCGTGCAGCGCTGGGGCTGGACACTGGTGGCGACCACATGGTGATGCTGTCTGTGATCCCTGGGGAAGCTGAGGACAAACTGAGCTCAGAGCCCAGCGGCGGCACCTGCGGAGCTGCAGGGCAGGAAGACTCGCAGTGCAATCTCCGAGAGAGCCTCTTCTCTCTGGACAGCGCTGGAGCCAGCTCCCCCGACAGAGAAGAGTATTACACAGAGCCGGAGGTGGCGGAATCGGACCCAGCCCCAGCAGAGGACTCCAATAACACGGAGAGTCTGAAATCCCCGAAGGTGAACTGTGAGGAGAGAAATGTGACGGGATTCGAAAATTTCACTCTGAGAATTTTAAATATTTCACAGGTAAGGAAAAGTTATTTAGTACTTTTCTCCTTTTCAGCATGTTGCTCTTTTACGATTTAATACACTATCAGCTTTCAAATGGAGGATGATAATCTTTATCACGTTGTGAGTGGGATAGCATTTAATGGATGCATTGATGAAAGTGGATTTTGCTCTGTGATGTTCATGAGGATAGGAGGAGCTGTAACTGGTGTCGATTATTATGCTTATTTAGGCAGCTTAAACCTAGTTATCCATGGTGTAATCCTACCACCAAACCTCATGATAAGAATTTCAGTGGACACGACTGTTACCACGCCTCCCCTGGCCCCCTAACTGCGGTCCCCCAGTAGCACATCAGCTAAAATCCTAGTGCCATGTCACGTTCTGGGTAATAGTTACTTCCTATCTCCCCCCTCCCCTTCTCCAAACCATCAGACCAGACACCGTTGCAGGCAGGTCTTGTCAAAATATCCACATGTTCACAAAGCCCTCAGCACGCTACTTTGTGTTGCAAACGTTTAAGTTACACTGAGTCCATGAGGCGATCGGTATGGCATTTGACTGTGAGATAAAAGCATCCATCCATCCATCCATTCATTCAGTGAAATCTTGTAGACTGCATTCCGTGCCAGGGACTAGGAGGGCTGGGAGGAGAGCCTTAAGGAGGGCACGTGGCACCCATCCTCCAGCCTGAGCCCCGTGGGAGGGAAGCTACGACTACAGAAACTGGCTAGTCAGTTCCTGCCCTCTGGATGCGCGCATGTCCTCACTCCGCAGGGAGCCGCAGGGTGTGCACATACAACCGGTTTAAAGGGCACAGGGAAGGTGATGGGGACAAAAAAAAAAAAAAGAATTTCAGTGGACAAATGGGTGCTTGGCATCAGACTCATAGCATTTTTCTTCTTCCAACTAAGGTATTTATTACCAAGGCAACTTAAAAAAATCTGAATTACTAATGTTGTAATTTAGCATTGTTTAGACTAGCAGTGCCCCTGGGAAGCATGTTGTATTGATGAAAAGTTTCTTTTCTTCAGAGTGTTCACTGTGGAGTGACAGTCAGACAATTGTCCCAAACCCAGCCATGCCTTTCAGCTAGTTGGATAAATGGTGCTTCCAAAGAGAATTCTGGGATAGTGATGAACAGTTTCTGTAGGATTAAGCCGGACAGCAGGACAAATTCCGCTGCTTGTGTAGAAGTCCCGGCTCTGAAAGCTGTGACTGCTTATTTTCAATGAGGGTGCATGTGGTATGTTGAATGCATGTAGCCCCTGCCAACTGCAGGGATCAGTGCTGGCCTCAGCTCTCCCCCCGGTGCCCGGTAAATGCTGTGTCTCAGTATTGCAGGACTGTTTCTGGCATCACACCACCTGTCATGTAACCATTTAAGCAATCTGTTAGGGTGGTGGCAGGAGTAGTGCACCCTTGAACTTTTGGCCAAATACATTGATCCAACTGTTTGGCACAGACTTGGAGCTGCTGAAGAGAGAGTTCGGGCCTGGGATCACAGTGCTTTAGTAGTGCCCTAGATTGTGTGAGATGCACATTTCAAAGGTTAGGATATGGCCTGAACCCTGTGAGTACTTTGTATTTGAATTGATGAATTACGAAAAATAGTAAAATTGCTCCATTGTAGTATTAAGAAAGCTTAGAGGAAAGTTTATGATCTGCTATTTGACAGTACTTCTCTGCTGATTCATGGATTCATATGGTTCAAAATCCAGAAGGTTCTTAAGGGATATACTAGAGTCTCCCTCTTACTCCTGCCCCGAGCACCTATCCCCAGAGGCAGCAGTGTTTCCTGGGAGTCCTTCCAGAAAGAGGTGCATGTACATTTACTGCTGACTTTAACTATTGTTTCTTTTACCACAGGACCTCATGGATTTTCTGAACCCAAACGGTAGTGACTGCACTCTAGTCCTGTTTTATACCCCTTGGTGCCGATTTTCTGCCAGTTTGGCCCCTCATTTTAATTCTCTGCCTCGGGCATTTCCAGCTCTTCGTTTTTTGGCATTGGATGCATCTCAGCACAGCAGGTATTTCCCACAGGGGAATTTCCATTTCATCCTCTGGGTGATGCCTGCAGTTATTTGGAAGTCATAATTAATTAGTTCAGGCATAATTAAGCAGAGGATGGAGGTGTGAGCTTTGAATAGGGATTGAAGGAAGGGAAAGGCAAGTGTGAGTAATAGAGGTGGTCAGTCTCCCAAGGGAGCAGATGAAAGCACTTTTTTGAGGGTCCACAAGAAGAAAGACTGTTATTTGCATGGTAGAATTTAAAGGTGACTCTACCTGATGGTAGGGGAGGGGCCAGAGGACTTTCTGGTTTGACTGAATTAGCAGAATGGGTGTCACAAGTGGGATCCTGCACTGTGAATTCACCTGCTGGTTAGGTCCCATTCCTGGCAGCAGCTTGGCACCCCATTCTATGTCCATTAGGAATTTCTTTCTTTCCTTCCTTTCTTCCTCCTTCCTCTTGCTTACACTTATTCCTGATTGCATGTTCCTTGGTAGACAGTCAGTATAACCAATGTAATGAATTAACCCAGCCTTTTAAATGACATTTAACCTGGTTTTATATTCTTTTATATTGTTCAGTGGGTTTTTTGTCTTTCTTAAATGTTCAATAAGTCAAAAACTTTGTTAGGATGTTACATATTTCCCTTAAGTGCTGTGCCTGTGCCTGGGTTATAAACTGTGTGCTCCCTTCTTCCTCCCAAATCAGATGCTCCGTAGCAGGTCACAGGGGTGTGTGTGAATAAATTTGGCAAGTGTGGGAGATACTCAAGTTGGTAAAAATAAAGTTGAGTAAAAATTTGCTAATTTGTTCTCCACTGATTTTCAGCATGGGCAGTGTAACTGCCAGTGTTTACTTAAAATTGTTTATGAAGAAACTGCCCAATAAATTAGTAATTCTTAGAGGGGCTTCAAGGAATTACCTAGGTGGCCTGGTCCAATGGAACAGACTAATTGGAAGGTCAGTCTGGGTCAGTGTCCAGCTTTAACTAGACCCTCCTCTGCTCCCAAACCAGCTGGCTCCTAGCACCTGCTTGGTACTCTTTGGTTTGAGGTCTGGTACTAATCTCCTCACCCCTTATTCCCTACTTTCTTTTATCATCCACTTTGTTCATTCTTCATTTCTGTGTATCTTTCAGACTGTCTGATGTGGTGCCTTAATTATGGAGAATAGAGGGTACTTGTTCTTATTATAGGGCCTGTGACATATGTTTTCCTACTATGTTAATATTTAAGTTACAGCATGTCTATAAAAGAAAAAAGTCCTGATTAGCTAATATTACCATTTTACTAATGGGAAGAATAACTGAGGCTGAAAGATGTTAAATAATCTGCCCACAGGTCACAGAGCTGATTCACTAGCAGAACTGAGCTTCTGCCTGGATGTTTTGACTCTGGAGCTTATACCACTACTCTGTGTTATGTAGAGGTGCAGTAGTGCTGCTCGCGTCATATTGCTTCCGAATTGTCAGGCCCTAACTGTGAGCTTCCTCTTGTGCTTGTTAGGTCAGAGAGTGCATGCACCAGCTCACCAAAGTCACTGCTTACCCTCAGTTGAACCTTGTATGAGGGATGGAGGTAGGCATTCTGGAGAGTTTGAAATTTCTTCTGTCAGGTATATTGACACAGTGTACTTTGTCCATGAATTAGAATTTTCTGGTCTGATCCGTTTTGGCAGTTAGGAACTTAAAATAGGAGGATAATTGTCATGGGTGGTTCCACATATAATGGAAAGCAACTCAGCAGAACAGGAATGTCCCCAACCGTGCCCTGTAAAGAGAGAGAGGTCAGAAATAACTACAAGCAAATAGTTTGAATATCAGAAACTTCTGTAGGTCACTTGAAGCTGATCCTTTTTCATTTATTTCCATTCATTCTGATAAGGTATTTGTGTGAGCAAGCCCGCTGTTAATTCAGGTTTTCTGACTGACTTCTCTTGTAGCCTTTCTACCAGGTTTGGCACTGTAGCTGTTCCTAACATCTTGTTATTTCAAGGAGCTAAACCAATGGCTAGATTTAATCATACAGACCGAACACTGGAAACGCTGAAAATCTTCATTTTTAACCAGACAGGTATGTTGGAATACTAGAGAATTGAAGACAACTTTTTATTGCTGGGGGTATATGCCTTCTGTAGGTTCTGATTTGCTGTTACCCTTAAGTGAAGGATTCAAGCTTGGCTTTCAGATGGAAAACGTCTTTTCTAATGAACTGTTAATGATCCTGTTAAATGTCTCTCAGTCAGTGGCAAGCTTAAGATGAAAAGGTAATTTTAATATGATTATAGATACCTTAAAAAAACAGCTTTGTTGAGATATAATTCACATACTGTGCCCCAGTAGGTACATTTTTACATATTTTTTTTTCATTTTTCATTTAAGTATAATACTTACACAAAAGTATGCATTAATCATTAGCGTACTGGGTAATGAATCTTCCCAAAGTGAACAACTTAGTTAACCAGATCCAGAAGGGAGCATTACCAGCTCTGTTTCCTACTGCTCCCGCCCACAAGGATAACCAGCATGCTGACTCCTGACATCATAGACTAGTGTTAGCTGTTTTTGAGCTTTGTATTAATGGAGACATACAACACGGATTCTTTTGTGTCTGGCTTAGTTCACGCACCACTGTTTGCGGGATTCATCTGCATTGCTGTGTATGGTTGTGGTTGTTCATTTTTGTTGCTGAATAGTGTTCCATTTATCCATCCATTTGCGGATGCTATTTTAATTCTTTAATATTTGCCAAAACATATGGCCTTTTCATTCTGTTAAAGTTTTTTTTTTAATTGAAGAATAGTTGATATATAATCTTATATTGGTTTCAAGTATACAGTGGTTCAGTAGTTACCCACATTATTAAATCCTTACTCCCACTAGTGCAATTACTGTCCCTCAACATAGAAAGATGTCACAGAATCATTAGCTATATTCCCCATGCTGTACTACTATCCATGTGACCAACTTATATTATGATTGGGAATTTTTGTGCTGCTTTATCCCCCTCACCTTCCCTACCTCCCTATCCACCCACCCCAACCACTCCTCCCTGGTAACCACCAGTCGTTTCTCATTGGCCATAAATCTACTGCTATTTTGTTCATTTTGTTTTGTTTTAATATTCCACAAATTAAGTAAAATCATATGGTATTTGTCTTTCTCTGCTTAGCTTATTTCACTTAGCATAATACTCTCTAGGTCCATCTATATTGTCACAAATGGCAAAATTCATTTCTTTTTTATGGCTGAATAATATTCCATTATGTGTATGTACCTCATTTTCTTTATCCACTCATCTATTGATGGTCACTTAGGTTGCTTCCATTTCTTGGCTATTGTAAATAATGTGGTGATAAACATAGGGGTGCATTTATTTTTTCCAATCAGGGATTTTTTTTCTTGGGGTAAATTCCTAGAAGTGGAGTTACTGGGTCATATGATATTTCTATTTTAAGTTTCGTGAGGAACCTCCATACTGCTTTCAACAGTGGCTGTACCAATTTACATTCCCACTAACAGTGTAGGGGGGTTCCCATTTCTCCACATCCTCGCCAACACTTGTTATTTCTTGTCTTTTAGATAGTAGGCATTCTGACTGGTGTGAGGTGATACCTCATTGTGGTTTTGATTTGCAATTGATTATTAGTGATGCAAAGCATCTTTTCATGTGCCTGTTTAAGCAGTGTATATTGAAGAAATTCCCTCCATTGGAAAAGTTCATTCCTCAAAACCTGAATGCTGCAATCTGGAGCACCTCTCTTCTCCTGAAGTATCTTCACTGGAAATAAATACAAGTTTTGACATACCTTCTATCTATATTAGGTTGCATGTAATTACTTATATCTAACATTAAGGAAGAAATTGCTGAGTTACTTCATAGGAATAAAAGGCTTATTGCCAGGGGGTTAGCTATTTCAAATCTTGTACCAGACCCCTGATTGTCATTCAGATTGATAGGGAGAGAGGGAGGCATTGGATTCAGTGCTCTAAGAAAACCAGGAACACAAATGAAAGCTAGAGTCACAGCATCTTCAGTCATCATGGATCCCAGTAGTGGTTAGTTGTTCTAACAATTCTTCCAGTAAATTATTTAAAAGCATTTGAACTTGCATTATTTAATCTGTGAAAAAGTACTGTTGACTCCTGAAAGTAGCATTACTAGTAACTTGTTGAATTTTGGTCCCAAAAGAGAACAAAACACAACTCTTACAATGCACTGACTTAAGACCCTCTGCTAAGTTCACAGAAATTCTAGTTTTAGCTTTGAACAGCTGAATGGATTCCTGTGCCTTTGATGTGGTAGGGAGAAAGGCCAAGTTACAATCACACTGACAGGCAAGTGAAACCCATCCCAGATAGGCTAGTGGTGGTGTTTATTTTAAGACTACTTATCATTTTGCATACCATGCACAACAGTTCAGAAAGATCTGTAGCAGGTGTGTTTTCTATCTGATTGGAAACAATTTATTTCTCTTTCAGGTATAGAAGCCAAGAAAAATGTGGTGGTCACTCAAGCTGACCAAATAGGCCCTCTTCCCAGCACTTTGATTAAAAGTGTGGACTGGTTGCTTGTATTCTCCTTATTCTTTTTAATTAGTTTTGTTATGTATGCTACCATCCGAACTGAGAGTATTCGGTGGCTGATTCCAGGACAAGAGCCAGAGCATGCAGAGTAGCGGCAGACTGAAAGAAGGTGGAAAGAGGAACGTCAGTCCTTCATTTCAAAAATTAGTGCTGCTGTTGCCTACGTTTTCTTCAGCGAAACGCTGACTGTCACATTAAAAGAATCATGCATTTGTTGAGCAATGGAATGTGTAAAAAAGTTAACTGGTATTTTAACTAGTATTTTAATAAGCAAATGCAAAAATATTCAATAGAACTTACCATTCTTGTTTTTACTGCTTAAACATAATCCAGTATTTTAAAGGAGTAAATCCAGTTTGAAATATGAAGATGTATGTGGGTTGGAGTAGTGAGTAGAATGACTATGTACTTAATATACAGAGGTAGAAATGGGGTCTGAAGATTATACAGTTTTAGAAAACTCTTGATTCCTTGTATCTGTCTAAGAAGGTTGGTTTTCTGTTCCTTGCAATTTTGCCCTGTGTCCAGAAGCAGGAAAGTGTTCTAATACGGGAAGAATAACTAGAATTGGTGTGACCTTACAAGGTGCACCTGATGGGAAATGAAAGAGTCAAGTACTTTGGTGTTCGTGATCTCTGATTTCACTGAAAGAATGTGAAGGGGTCTAAGAAGTTGTTTCTGGGTAAGGCAGATGTAAGAAGTAAATGTTATCGTAACTAAACCTTAATATCAATTTTGGGCTAAAGCATAAACTTACATTTTAGTCATAGTTCTCTAACCAACCTTGAAATGTCCTCAGCACTTTGCTAGGCTTAGTGAGAGCCAAAAAATATATAAATCACTGCTTTTTCTCACAAGTTGATGCTAGTGTAGTTTAGGACATATGTAGAAAAGAGACAACATGTAATTTATTCAAACATTTTGAAAAGCTATTTCTTAAAGATCCCTTAAATTCAGAAATACGACATCAGACTACAGAATGATAAATTACTTTTATACTGATTGTTTCCATTCATTCATTTCATAAGGTATCCTAAATTCAATGGAAATAGAATCTCAGATGAGTCTCCTTCTCAGAGTGTTGTTTCAGACAGGAGTTTACAATTTTATGGGTCATGTTATGGACAGCTAGGGCTGGGGTAGTCACTGGCAGGAGGGAACAATGGCTCCAAACAGTACTATTATTATTTCTGTTTTACAAATGAGCAAACCGAGGCATAGAGATGTTAAGTACCTTGCCCAGATTACATGCATAGTAAGTTAGTACAGCTGGGATTTGGGCCTTCTCATGTATGTGTACGTAAGGAAATATATATTAGAAATATAAGGAAAAAAACTGTCTAGTAATTCTGTAACAACATTAGAATATTACTACGTGTGTGCCAGGTACTGTTTTAAATATCTACTTACTGTTTCATTTACTGGTACAGTGGTCCTGTGAGATGGCTACTGTCACTAAATATCCTCATCTCACAGAAGAGCAAATGAGGCTGCAAATAACATGCTGTTGGTCAAGCAGCTGCCAGTGGTGGGACCCAGCTTCAAACCTAAGCATGTCTCCAGAGTCAGGATGGTGCCCTGCTCTGCCTCTATGTCATGGCCAGGTGACCGTGATAAGCATTTCCCTCTAGTCTTTCTCCTGTATGTTTACAGTCATTATATAGCTATAATTCAGCACCTCCCGCTTTTTTTGCTTAACAAAGGTAAGTATTTCACTGTTGAGAATTGTTTTCCTAACCATGGCTACATAAAAGGCTTTTGAACAGAGTCAGCATTACTTACCGAAGGGTCTTCTTTTGCTGGATTTATTTATGGTTGTATATAGTCTCATTTCTTTGGGAGCAGATTTGCAGAGTGGGAGTTACCTTATCAAAGATACAGGAATTTTCATGCCTGAGAAAAAGTACATGGGGTTCCCACAGCCCTGGAGGGGAGGTTCAAGTGTAGAGAGGGTCAGCTGGGGAGCACTGGTGCTGAGGGAATGGGAAGTAGAAGAGGGAAGGAAGCAGTCCAAGACCCACTCAGCCACCAAGCCAAGCATGGTGTCTGTTGAGCACACCACCCTGCACAAGTAACCAGTGCTGGTGCAGGTGGGGTGGGGTGAGGGGCCTGGACAGGGCACATGACACAAGACTTCAATTTCATGGAAGATAGCAAAGATCATCACAGGGCCAGCCACCAAGGACAGAAGTGCGAACACTTCTGCCCACTACTTCTTGGTGTTAGAGTCACCAAGGAACATTTTTACACAGAAGAAACAGAGTAAATGAGCTCCAGTAGTGTGCCGCAGGCCCTCAAGGCTAGTGGGCACGCTGCAACAGCCAAAGGCCTATGAGTGCCCCTGTAGTGCCCCAGCAGAAGGACCTCTCCTCCCCTCCCATGGAATCTGAAACAGTGAAAAGGTGGGGGGCGTGCCCCAGGGCCACTGACATACATGCTTAAGCAAAACAAAGGAGCACACGTTGAGTTTGAAACAGGGAAGGATGTTCTCACACAAGGGGGTAAGCCTGGCACAGGCGGTGTGGCCTCTATATTTTGGTCAGGAAGTGTTCCAAGCCTAAGGCCCATCCTTGTGTGGCTGAGTAGGGCTTGAAGAGACTGAGCAGGAGGCTGCCTTTCCCGACATTGTCCATTACACAGGACATGCCTGGTAAATCTTCGCTAAGGGACTTAGATCCTACTACTTGGAGAGCTACCTGTGAGGAGGGCATTTACTGCCCCTATTGATGGACGTGAGTTCCCCGCCCTACCAGCATCCTGCTGCTGCTCCTTTCCAGACTTGAGCTGAGATGCCGCAGTTACAGGGGATTTAGGGAAGGAAATGATGAGGGGTCTCTAGCTTGTTACCTCACACAGCAGTTCATTTTTCAGTTGTCACTGTAATGAGCAAGTTTGTAGAACATATTTTTCACGATCATACACACTCAGTGTAAGTATTGGAAATACAACCTTCAATTCCACCCCTAGTCTCCGACCACATGAGGTATCAGGCAAAGGAGACCACGGTGTCATATTAAGTGCCTTGAGACCAGTGACATTTGATTAGGCTCTCCATTGAGATTCCTTCTCTGACTTTTTGTCAAGTGGGCAAAAATGAAGTTGGGTTGGGCTGTAAGTCTCAACTTTAGGTTATTTTAAGGCAAAAAGGCTTTTTTCCCCCAAGTCTGTCCATATGGGAAATAAAACCATCTGCTGGCAAGAGCTAAACTGAACTTAAATGGACTGTCATTCTTTTTTTAAAGTATTGTTAATACACAATCTTGTGTTGGTTTCAAATGTACATCATGTGGTACAACAGTACCCCTGATCAACTTCTATTGTGATTGTTAATTATTGTGGCTGGACTCTCATTTTTTAAAAAAAATTAAAAATATCCTCTGCAAAATCGGTTATGTTACTAATTTGCTTAAACTGTTTAGTAGAAAAAAATGACACAAGTGAATAGGTGACCCTTGAAAAAGGTGGAGGTTAAGAGGGAACACCCTCTTGAAAATCCACATACAATTTTTGACCCTCTCTGTTGACCCAAAGCCTTACTGATAACAGCTGATTAACACATAATTTGTATATGTATTATATACTGTATTCTTATAATAAAGTAAGCTAAGAAAAGACAATGTTTTTTCAAACACAAATCTCCAAGTTTTCCAATATATTTATTGAAAAAAGTCAACGGATAAGTGGGTCAAGGCACTTCAAAACTTTTTTTCAAGAGTCAATTGTATACCAAAAACCAGTTCACTTTAAAGGTTGAGTTTTACGGTATGTGAATTATATCTCATAAAGAAAGGGCCAAAAAAAGAAAAAATATATAAATAAATACATACCTTTCTCCAAAAAAAGGATATAAGAGAAAATCGAAATCTGTCCACATTATCTCTGGAGTGCCTGAGTGCCGCACCCGTGCTGCTTGTTAGCACTATTCGCCGGTTTTTTCAGATACTCCTATGCAAGCAAAACCAGACGAGCCCGCCTGCCCGAGGCCTTGGCAGCTAGGTGAAGGCAGCACAGCTGCAGTCGAACCCCCGGCCCCCGGGCTGCATCACTGGTTCACTGCCCTCGCAGCGCGCGCACAGGTGTGGTGCCCAGCGCCCGCCGCGGTCCGTCTCTGCCCCTGCCCGCGACATCCTCCCACCAGCGCAGACAGTGCGCCCCCGCGGCCCGAGAGGGAGCCCGGCACGGCTACACCCTCCGCGAGCACGCGGCAACCCGAGAGGAGCCCGGGGTCCCGGCGGCCGGCCTCTCCCTCGCCCAGGCCGGAAGCCCGGCCCGTGGGGTGACTCGGAAGGAAGGGGTGCCGAGCGGGGACTGGAGGCGCGGGGGCCTGCGGGGGCCAGCCGCGCCGCGTCCCGCCCGCTGCCGGCAGCGGAGGCGGCCGCCCGTGGAGCTCCTGGGGCCTTCCGGGGACGAGCTTTGCGGCCCGGCCCGGCCCAGGGCTGGGAGCCGCCCGCACGGCCTCGGCTCCGGGCCGGCTCCGCGGAGAGGCGCCCGCGGCGGAGCGCGGCGGGCAGGCAGCGCGGCGGGCAGCCCTCCGGCGGGCGGCGATGGCGGCCGCACTGGGGTCGCGGGCGGCGACGCGGCTCCTGTTCGCGGCGCTGCGGGGCCGCGGCCCGGGCGTGGAGGCCATGGTGAGTGCTGGAGGCCCGCGGTGCGGGAGGAGGCCCCGTGGGCCCGGCTGAGGGGCCGCGGGACTTGGCTTCGCCAAGTTTGGGCACCGGGCAGCATCTTCGTTTGCTCTTGGCTTAAAAACTCCGTCGTGGTCTAAGAAATGGCCAACCGGAAGACAAACGAGGACGATTTTTTTTAAAAGTGAATATGAAACGTAGTTGTAAAAATACTTGATGCTCAGGCTCACCTGATGGGACTAAAGGCGCGCGGTGCTGGTGGGTTCCCCAGACGGTACGCGCGGCTGGAGCGGGGCTGTCCGTCACGGCGCGCGCGCGGTTACCCGGGGGCCTGGATGTTAGGTTAACTCATTTGTCTTGGAGTTAATTTTTTGAGAAATTAATAATATGGTGACACATCATTTTCCTCTTCCTAGGGGCGTTCCAAGTCCGTTTCTTTCGAGATGATTGATTATATTGGGATAATTTGAGGGACAATTTTAACACGCAGTACCACCTAGTGGGGAAATGTTGCATTAAACCCACCACTTCATTTTCTTAAGTTGTGTGTTGAGCTCATTGGGCAGTTTGAAATTCTTTAAAAGAAGAAATTTAAAATAGCTTGATGATGGAGTAAAATGAGCGCCCCGCTTCGTGTCCATTAAGGTGAGAACGCGAGCTGAGTGCCCACTGCCGCCCAGGCGTGTCCCAAGGCACCTCTCTACCCAAAATGTTGGTCACTAAAATTACCGGGTTTGGGAGGAATGAATAAACCGACAAGATTTGAGTAGCTGCCATGTGCTAGGTTCTTTGCTGGGTGGCTTTACATGAAAGATCTCTAAGCCCTTCAAAAAGTCTTGGCAGGTAGATACTGTAACACCTGCGCTATAGACGTGAGCATACTGCAATTCAGAGTAGCTAAGTGATTTGTTTAGGATCCCACAGCTCAGAGTAACAAAGGTAGGTCCTGAGTCAAGTTTACTCTTTGCAGACCTGTGCTTTTCCCTGACCCTTTCCCCAGCTGCCACAGAAAAAAATTAAACCCACCACAAAGGGTTGTGCAGAGGTTGTGTCCCAAAGGGGACCATCTGATAATGCAGATGGAGTGGCTGCCTTTCAAGTCCCTGTTCCTGGTCGGTCATCTGTGGTGAGCACATTGCCTCACTGCGGATGTGGATGACGGAGAATGTAGAGGGAAATAGCTCAGTGTGTTCCACGCACGCCAGGTGACTGCTGCCTTACCCACAGCTTGATTCATAGTTTTCTTTGCAGCAACTCAAAGTGGACACAGATAATTCTGTTTCTTTAACAAAATACTGTGAGTTGACTTAAATATTTAAGTGTTCAGTAAGAATTCTGGATTATTTCCTATGGTGGGTTTTTGTGGACATTTTTCAGAACAATCATTGTAAAACCAAGGAATAGATATTTTGGTTCTTAACAATAAGTGGTTTTCATAACAAGCCTTTAAATGTCTTTATTTAACTAAGGGGTGTTTTCATTCTTCTCTTTTGGTTGCTGTGGGCAGGGTAGCTGGCCTAGCAAGGAAGAGAAACTACAGAATTGGTTCATTGGCCTCCTTTTTTCCTCTTCATAGAATAGGTTGTCCTAAAGTAAATTTATTTACTTTGCCCTTTAATTACATAATGCCAGTTATGAATGGTGTTAGGGTTTCTTAAGGAGGAATGAGTTGTAGTTTGGAGTAGTTGGAGGATCCAGCTCAGTCCCCAGTTACCCTTTGATGAAGAGCCCTCACATTAGCTTAGTCTCTCTGGGTGACAGTCCTTCCCTCCGCTAAGCCTACAGTAACCCTGCAAATAGGTGAGGCAGGAGGTGTTGGTTGGCATTCAATGTAGAATGAGAACACAGCTCTTCTGACTTCTACTACGTATCTTTTTCTCTCTCTGACCATCATGTTTAGAGTTCTGTTAGTTAAAAACCAAGTAGCATGGGAACTGTGGGCCTGTTAACCAACAGAGCCCTGGATTTGTGAGTTTCATTGCCAGGGTGCATAGGAACAAGGTGGGCAGGGCACCCAAGTGCTTTGGCCTGGGCAGTGCTCTTGCTAGAATGTGGAGGGAGCTTATCTTGCTGGTGCTCTGAGGAGACACTCCACTAAGGTGAGGGCTTTTTACCTCTAGTCCAGATGGTCTGTGGACCCCCAGGAAGCTATTATACAGAACTCTGTGTAAATGTGCATTTTTTTGCACCCCCCCCCCTCCAGAGGACTGGTTTTTTATCACATCTGACAGGGGATAGTGAACCCAAAATGGTTACGACCTATGTGAATAAGCAGTGAGGGCTGCTTAGCTAGTGTGGGACCATCCAAAGGACAGTAGAGAAGGACTTTAGAGCCCTGAGTTCTAATCTGGGTCCTGCCAATGGACTTGGAGGGCTTCCTTGGGTGGGTGTGATTACCTCAACTTCCTACGTCCTGAAATTGGTAATGGTCATTAGTAAGATGAACACTGGTAATAGAGACACAGAATTGTGAAGTCTGAGGCAGCAGTAAGAGGGCTGCTGGACAATATACCATCCAGGCAGCCTATTTTGTATAGAGCTAGCCTTGTTTGTGTCTGTTTCTTGAGAATGAAGGACAAAGATGGAACAAAGATGGTTAGAAATTGTTGCCCTTAATATTTTTTTCTACATCTCTGCGTAAGGTGAAGAGCTATAAGCTTATTTGAGATTAAACCTCTACATTTCAGATATTAAATGTGTTCTTTTCCTAGTCAGCAGATGCCCACTGGTTGACAGCAGAGGAGAGGAGCCAAGTTATACTTGACCTTAAAGCAGCAGGATGGTCGGAATCAAATGAGAGAGATGCCATCTACAAAGAGTTCTCCTTCAAAAATTTTAATCAGGTAATTATGATGTATTCTTGCTAGTCCCATGGTCCGTTTTTGTCACCTTAGGCTGTAAGTCATTCTAATAGTACTGGTTGTCTGGTCCCATGAGGAGTTAGGGTCCAAATCCTCTCTTAAGAATTCAGTGATGGTTACTCTCCATCCTTTTTCATAGCTGCCACCACCCGACTGGGTTTTGATTCTCATTTCGAGAGGGAGGGGTGGTTTTTATCATTTGGAAAATCAAATTCTGAAACTACTATTCCTTTGATTTGGTGTTGGTTAGGGTTTTTAGTTTCCTTTCAAATTTTAAATAACATTAAAAGAGAGTGTGAGCTTTTTGTGTTTATCAGAAGAGGGCATGAGTAAAAACAGTTGAGACATGCACCTGCTTGACTGATTTCCTGTACTTTTCTTGGACAGTTGTCAAGTTTTCTTTCTCCCTGTTGTATTTCTGTCCCTAAATCATCTCCCAAGCTGAACTCTCTTCTCTGATTGGCTCATTTTCCCCAAGCCCAATAGCTTAGCTCTTGAAGCTTTTCTTAAAAGCTGGCTTCCCCTTGGAGACTCAGCCTTAACCCGGTGAGTCCTCCATTCGGGCCCCGCCCTGCTCAGAGAGTCATCTCCCATGACTTACCCTTCAGTCCTTACTTCATTGCATTTATATAAGGTCATTGCTTTTGACTATTTCCTGTTTGTTCAGTTAGTTTGGTAATCCTCTGGACAGATTTATTGTTTTTATTTATATTAGGTGTCAGCATCTAGAAGGCAGAGACCATGTTTGCTTAAATAACTATTGTACCTAACACAGTTCTGCATACAGACAGGCATTTGATAAATGCAGACATTGATTACAGTGTTTGCTAGTTTCTGGAAGGGTGTGTGAGGACCAGATTTCCACCCGAAAGACATTCAACATGTTTTCCTAGTAAATGCCATTGGCTCCACTGAGCCGCATGCCCTGTTCTGCTCTCCATCCATCTGGCTGCCAGCCTTCTGCTGTGAGTCTCCAACTCCTGAGGAGCCCTGGCCCAAATGACTCCCTGTCCCTACTGCCCCATGTGCTCAGCAGCTCTTGTCAGGGGCTTAGCACTCTGTTGCTGGTGGCAGTGAATCCCATTGGTACAGTAAGCTTGCGCATAAGCTCTAGGTAGCATTTTCCAAGCTTATTAAAATTCTTACATGTGTACAGCCTGACTTCTTTAAGCCTGGGCTAATTTATTGGGCTTGAACATGTGGCTTAAAGTACCTGAGGAGTGTTGCCGCAGGCTCTGCCCACGAGTCGGTGATCGTGCGGCCCCACTTCCCCTTGTGCTTGCAGAAATAGGAGGGAAGGGACGCTGTGCAGGGCATCCTTGGTAAACTGTGACTTTATTCGTCAGGATATTTAATTAACCTAACTGTCTCCCCCCACCTTCACTCAGATTTTAGGAGAAAGAGGCAGATGACAAGAAAATGAGCCCATGTCAGGGAATGTATTCAGAGAACCAACACTGAGATTTTATCACAAGGTCAGTTTTCCAGCCAGACGCCTGTGACTTTTGCGTGTGCAGTGGCCTGTCATGGCAACTGATGTTGTGATGGACTCTTAGTGCCCCCCAGCCAAAGACCACCAGGAATGCACCAATGGTTGAAATTTGGGCTTATCGCTTGTTGCTGCGAGGGAGAACCCACACTATAGGGAACTATGGGGGCATCTCAGGAAGACTGTGTTAGAAAGATGTATTATAGGATCTGGGCTTGTGTTACTGATTTTGGAGAGTTTTTAAGGATCAGGGCTTTGCTCTGGATTGGATACTGTCAGAAAATGAGTAATTCCACCATTCGATGTTTTAATAAATCTTACCTAGCGGGAGAAGAGACACGGTAGTTTTGTTTTTGCTGTAAAACATCACAGTCACAGAGTGGCCTTGCCTGCTGTTGATGTTTAGGTTAACACCAACGGCTCCGTGTGAGTGCCAGGCCAGCTCTTGGCAACACCACGGTCATGCTGAGAGGCCCAGCCAACTCCCAGATGTCAGGGGCTGCTTTTCTCTATTTCACAACTGTTGTTAAGAGTGGTGACCCTCTAGCAGTGAAAGAGCCTCACTTACCTTTCATTTAGGACAGAAAAGGTTTTGTTTTCTATTACAAAACAATAATATAAAACATTAAATAGGGTGGCATAAATTAAAATGTTACCATTCCAACTATTTTCATTTCTCTATTAATTTTTTTCTGTTCTAGTCTTCCTTTCTAGGTATGGTTTCTTCGTGATGTGGCCATTGTACATGTAGTTATTTAAAAATTTTAAAAAATCAGTTTAATTTTATTGTAAAAATAATATTCATTAACTCAACAAATATTTATTAGGTATCTTCTCTGTGCCAGGTACTATTCTAAGCTCATGTAGTTCCTATTCTAATAGAGAAGATAGACAAAAACAAATGACTAGATAATATAATTTCACGTAGTGGTAAGTGCCACGAAGAAGAATAAACTAGGATATTGGGGTGGAGAGTGCTGGAGGACGCATGCACTGTTTAAGATGGAGTGGTCAGGAAAGGCTTCTCTTGGGAGGGGACACCAAGGCCTGGGTACTGTGAAGGAGCTCGTCAGGTCAAGACCCAAAGGAAGAGCATTCCAGGTGGAAAGGACAGCAAGTATGAAATTTCTGAAGCAGGAACGCTCTTGGCGAGATTGAGGAAAAGCCGGAAGGCCAGTGTTCTGGAATGGACAGAGGAGGAGACTGGTAGGAGGTGGCGCTGAAGAGAGTGGAGGGCCAGGGCCCGGGAGCCCTGTCACTATGGCTAGGAGTTTGGATTTTACATGTGAAAGAAAGCTGAAGCGGAGAAGTGGATGATTGGGTTTATGTTCTGAAAAGATCTGCCCGGCTGTTGTGCTGTGACCAGATGGTAGGAGGGCAAGAGTGGAAGCAGGTGGACTCGGGCCTTTGTGACAGGCCAACCGACGAGACTATGGAGGCAGCAGTGCAGTGGGAGAAACGTAGGGTAACTCATATATTTTGAAGCTAGAACAATCAAGTCTTGCTGTGAGATTGGATGTGGGGGAAGGAGAGGGTCATGGATGATCCCAAGGTCCTGATCAAGCTATAGGGTGAAGGGTGGTGCCACTGGTGTCATTTACTGTGCTGGGAAAGACGGAATGGAGGGCAGGGTAGGGAGTTAAGAATCCTGTTTTGGACTTGTCAGGTTCCAGATACTTATTAGTCACCCAAGTGGTGATACCAGGTCAGCTGTTGGATTTGTGAGGTTGGGGCTAGGCTGGTATCAGTTTGAGAGCTGTCAGATAATTGTGGGAGCCCAGCCCTGGATTGGCAAGAGAGGACAGGATAGAACGGGCAGGTGGAGGCGCAGAGCACCCAGTATGTCCATTGTTACGGGAAAGAAGGCAGATCGATGGGTAAGATGCGGGTGGTTGCTACACTGGTCCTGGGAAGAAGAGGTAATTCCCTTCTGATTGTTCCTGATTTTTTTAGTGAGGCCATCAATTGAGAAGAAGTAGATTGTGAGGGAGGGGTGCTGGGGAAAAGGGAAGATAGGTAAAAGAGCGGAATAGCCATCTTGGAGACTGAGAAAGTGAACCAACGAGGAAAGTGTGGTCAGTTGCTGGGCAGCTCTCAGTATCCCCGGAGATTGATGGTCAAACATTTAAAGTGAAGATTTTGTGTATTTTGACTGGCCATGTTCAGCTGCTTGGGTGTAGGCTTGCAGTATGTGCACAGCTGGGCTTAACAAGGGCTGAACTTTTGCCAGATGAGTGCGTGGGGAACCGAGGGGCACAGGGAAAGGGCATGTGCAAGGACGGGGTTAAAATACTGGACTGTGGACCCTAAGGTGGCAAGGAGGCAAGTGCCGCTGTGGGAGAGAAGCAGCTGTGGGAGGGGTGTGGGGAGGCGGCGGGAGGGCCACGTAACACCATCTTTTGGGAGGGCAATTTGGTGAGGTGTAGCAACTTTTAAACTGCACATATCCATTGCCCCAATCTAAAAATTAATCTTCTAGGTATAGCTCTGCCTGTATCAAATGGATATGTGACCATGTCCATCATAGTCCTGCTTTGGGCCCATACTGTCTTCTCGGGGACAGGCCTGTCCACGTGCACGGGCGAACCTCGGTGAGACCGGCTCCCGCGCCGGAGCCCCGCCCCCAGCAGGCCCCGCCCCCTGCGCTCTGCTCGGGGGCTCCCGGCCGGCGGCGTCTGTCCCGGCCTCAGCTCTGCAAGCTGCAGGGAGCCGCAGTCAGAACTAACCTGCCCTCGTCATTAAGAGATTTCATCCCACATTGGGTGTTAGCAGATACTGTAAGAAATATAGGTAAAAACTGCATTCTGTATTGTTTACTAGATAGGTTCTGAACATTTGTCACTTCTTTATATAGTCTTCTCATTTTAACAATAAATCTTCAGATTACACTTGGTTGGTGTTATCATTTTTAAATGATTTGCTCATACGGAGTGTGAAAGCCTCTCACCAGTTTGCTTTAGAATTCATTTCTTTTATTATTACAGAAAACCATACATGCTAGAAACATTTTCAGTGACCCTGGCTGAAAAACCTTTTTCTCAAAGCTCTGGGTTATTCTAGGTTTTACTATAATAATAAATAATAAAATACATCTGGACTTTTTTTCTCTTAGAGATTTTATCCCGAGATAGGGTTATTTCCAAGTAGTTAGCATTCATGTGATAGCTCAGATGGATACAAATACTAGAGATTATAAATGCAAAAACTCCCAAGGGATTCTGATAGCATAGGTAGATGCTGTGACCACAGGTTTCTGGTGCTGTTAGTCCCCCCGTCTCTCCATGGTGGACTGCAATAGCCTGCAGTGTGCTGTGGCTTGGTGGGCAGTGAAGGGTGATGGTGAGTCTCTGAGCTGTCAGAGCGTGGCAGTCCCAGGACTCGGAGGCAGGATGTTTCCACGCTCGGAGTGGTTCTGGGGCTCAGACAGGGTGAGGTTGGCATTTGTAAAGGACTTTTGTTCTCTTTCTGTTCATGTAGACATAAGGAGGGAGAG